CACAGTCAGATAACGGCATGCAACAGTAGTACATCCTTTCTTAAGGTTTTGAGGAAGACTGTTTTTCCTTCTTCATGACACATCCAAAATCGCTGCAAAGCATTAACCTACATGAATTCCACCACACAGATGCTGCCCATTCGTGCTGGTGAAGCAACGGTTAGCGCATCCTTTCCTTACTAACCAGAGAGGCAGCTAAGAGAGCGCAGCGGCGAGGCTTTATGGGATTTGAAATACTTAAATTAAAGGAAAATGAAAAAGTCAGATAACTGGGAAGACAGACTTGGGAACAGCTCACTTAAATCACCATAGTCAGTCCTCTACAGTCGCCCATCTCCCTGCAATCAGCCCAGAAGCGTCCACAGCACATCCACTTAATACACAAAACATATCCCTTTCTCCTGTTCTTGGGAAAAAGCTCAAACCCACAAAACTACAACATGCTCAGATAAGAGAGCACACGACAGGTCAAGGACATTGCAACACCCCAGATCTCTAGAATAATTACGAATTTGTAATTCGAATACGAATTGTGTAATTCGAATACGAATTGTAATACGAATTTGGCAAAATGCTCCACATGGTGATGGAGTTTTTAAAACCAAAATTGTATTGAAGGTTGCAATCAATCAAAAAGCAGGACATACTAAAACACATCTGGAACAGTGACAGAAATCTGCACCAGCATATATTTGCATGCAAGTTTCTCGTCTAGTATGCAAATCCACATGATATAACATTAACACCTCTGGATAATTTATGATCACTTCCCATTCTCTACTGTAATCTCTTTTGGGTTCATGAAAATTGAGAACAGTTCTGTAACCCAAAGAAAAATTGCTCTGTACATTTAACTTCGAAATTAATAAAGACCACCAAAACCACATGCATCAACTTACATTGAAGACAATGAAAGCCTGTGCTTCTCAAACAATGTAAATATTTACAATAGCAGACATTGAAGAAACAAAACAATCTAATTATTGTTCAGTGAGGACATTGCTCACATTCTGTATTATATACGGCTAACAATGATGCATTTTTAGGAAGATTCTCTGCCATATCACTTATTTTCCATTACATCAGAGCATAACATTTGTGAAAGCCAGTTTCGAACAACAGGAGCCTAAGCAACATTCTTCACTGTTGTTTAACTGCTAATAGGCTTCAATATTCCTCTTGAGCTGGAGTAAAAAGAATATACTATTGACTAAGTGACTCTGTACTTTGAAGAAGTATGAAATCATTGCCTCTTTGTCTCTAGTAAATAAAAAATTTCCAAAATGATGCACATCATTCTTTTTTTTTTTTGAAATGATTCATGAGTTAAATCCCAGATAATTATTTATTTGCAGTTTTAGGTCGCAAAATATCTTTTCTTTGCAAGTCTTAATAAAAACCTAGATTTCTGCATCATTATGACAAACCTTTAAACTCTTCATGAGGAAATAGCTATGAACCACATTCCTTAGGGCTTACACAATCCAAGGATCAGAGAGTCAAACTAGTTTCTTCAAGAGCTCAAGCACACAGCAACATACCAAGCATTCTGCACCTGATTCTTCCAAACTTGTATGACATAGGTAAGTAACATTTCAGACCATAATTTCCCAAGCTTTAAAAAGAATCTGAGCTTCTAATGCAAAACTAGCTACCAGAAGTTATTTG